TATGTAAGTGATGTTTATTTTTTAATTGCAGACTTATTAGATAATTAATAATGATGTGAAGACTCTGGTTACGCTGGATATTATGGCATATTTTAGTATATTTATATACGTCGGTAAGATATACACGTGTTTGATATCGTGGAAAAATAAACAAGCAGTTGTAACATTTTCATGTTATTTTAATTAAAGTCACCATCATCAACAAATTCCATAAATAGTTCACATCAAGATTAAGTAGGATTACTACTATGTGTGTTGTGGTATGTGTAAGTATGCACAGCAATATATATGTCGGTTGGCCAGAATGCGACAACATTTGTTGCTTTAGCCGCGCACATATTCACTTGCATGCTATCAACAGGTGATTGTGCTAAGAGGGAGTAAACAAAAGTAACATATTAATCATATTTCAATAAGCAAATGTTCTGTGTAAGTGAAAATATTGGATAAATAGATATTATTGAATTTCTTCTTCCCAGCATGCCTTGCTATGCACTCTACTTTATCACTACAATGTTACCAGTGCAATGAACTGACGTCGAACTGTTTAATAGAATATGGGAAAACTGTCACCGCGTGTCGTCAAGAAAACCCCAAATGTCAGGTATGAACGAATTATTAAGTCATCGTGCATGTGCATGTTGTTAGTAGTTGTAAAGTTTCACAAATTTCCTTATCTAGGAATGCAGGAGTAAAAGAACCTATATATGTTCATTGTATTTTACGGTTTTGATTCCACGTGGCGGATTTTAAAGATTTAATATACATGAAAACATGACATTTTACTTTTGGATACTGTATTTTGATGGTTACATTGGATTATTATTTATCGTGAACAAATAGTTGTCATATCACGTGACTAAGTATTCTTTGTGTGAATACGATGTTTACCACTGCATATTTTGGTATTACCATGACTACACTTGCATATTAGTGTTTTCCACCCAACCATTGTATATAATATAATTACGAATAATTCGCGTTTGTGTATATAACGTAAGTATCTTTTATCTACGTAGATTACTTATATAGAGGAGAGAGGTCAACTGATCATGTTTGCCAGGGATTGTGCTGCCCCTGCTATGTGCTATGACAACTGTGAAATTGACACTACCACTGGTGAGTAATTACAATAATTAAATACAAAAGAAATGCGTGTATTCGAAAAAATACTGTGATACGTTGCTTTTGTAAATAAAACATAATCTCTTTACTACTTAAACCCCATCCGTTCAGTATTTTTTATTTATTTATTTATTTATTTATTTATTTATTTATTTATTTATTTATTTATTTATTTATTTATTTATTTATTTATTTATTTATTTATTTATTTATTTATTTATTTATTTATTTATTTATTATAGGAAATAACGTTTGCCAACATTGCTGCGATACGAATCTTTGTAACCATGGTAATGCTCTGAACTCACGGACGAAGAATACCATTGCCATGTGTCTAATGTTATGGCTTGTTATAATCTCCCTTATATGAAGTGCACAACGTATTAATAAAACACTGCCAGAAAATGTAAGAAGGCGACGAGATTACTAAATTACTAAATGTGGAATTCCAAATTAATGATGACGTCAGATAAACTGAACCTACATGCTGTGAAAATGTGTACTTCAGTTAGCATGTTAATCAAATAATTCATCACGTGAATTTTTCATGTCGAGGCTGACAGAGATGATTATGTTTTGCTTCTAATGTCCATGATGTCGGGATATCATTGTAAAAGTGTTCTTAAAACGCCCTCAACGACCAAGGACACGCTTAGCTGAGCTATTTTCGTCACCAGACAAGAGACGCCGGTATTACGCCGTGCATTAATTCCGTATTGAACATATAATAAAAAAGAATCGGTAAATAATATAAAACGATGATGTAACTTTCAAGATGTTTATTTTTAATAAGATGGTAATAAACAAAGTTTTATATATATATCGGTTATTGATGTATATTTTGCTCTCATTTTGCTGTTTTATCTGGGATGTTGTTTCGCCTTTGTCGTGTTTCAGTCCCTGGTTTCAGTATTAAGTAGAACGAAAACGATAGCGTACGTGATGACCGTACGTACATCATCGCCGTGGCGTAGAGTACACCACTAAAACACTAAGAAACTGATATACCATTTAATAATAACATATTATTACATTGAATTAATTAATAATATTATACATCTGTCACCGTAACGCCATAAGTTAAAGCGTGCCGTATTTGTTTACAGCATTTTACGTAATATTTCCATCCTACCATATTAGGAAATGCGAATTCCAAATATGGAATGATTACGCACGTAAGCGTCCTCTAATAATAAAAACAAACAAGGCTGCCAAAACAGTTTGACCGGACTCCACACAAAGAAGTTTACTGATTCTGTTCTAAACATTTCGGATTTCGCCATTCCCATGGTGTAATCTTGGAAGGAAAAGATGTATAATAATAATAAGGTTATTACCAGGATACCTTTTAGTATGCACTCAGACAGAACGCCGCGCATCGACCGACGCGCACTGTCTTCGTGCATACTTTGAGGCATCCTCGTAATAACTTCATAATATTATACTGTTTTATTAAACATGTATCCGTAATATCTAGATGGTGTTTATATTGTAAAACGCTTCTGGGTTTCATGATGCGCTACCATAGCGAGGCAACCCTAATTTGCATATTTCTAGGGTTTGATGTCCAGAGTAATCAATTCAAAGTTTCACATTCAGGGTATATTTTTAGAATACAATAACATCATTGTTTACAGTTAAATGTATGTATTCGGATATCTGTGTAACAATCTAGATATAACCAGTATCACTAACCACCGTGACGCATTGCAGTCAATTGCATCCTATTTATGATATCGCGTACAGAGGTAAGTGTAGAGTCATAAAATGAGATGGACGGAATCTGTTTACCGCCATGGTAGAGTAGAAAAACATTCGTTCTTCAGTCGAGATAACATGAATTTTTTTGAAAATTTACTTCAGAGGAAACTTGCACAATAGTTGATTATGACTCGGGTTCGGTGAGTTGCCGCTGACTCACTCCGATAATAGATTTAATGTTTAAGTCCGTCCCGTTTCAGACACTACGACGAGGTGTCATCTGATTCTACGTGCAAGATGAGTCGAATATTCGTATTGCTGTGTTCGGGTAAGAGATGATACCGCTATGTGTATTTTCGATTAACTTTAGTAATTATTTATTTGCCAACATATTATTTATAGTTTGCGTATTTTTATGTCATCTTGCCTTTCTACATCGGTGTACTTGATTTGTAATGGGAGTGGTGATGATAATGTTAATTCTTTGTTGGTTTTGCTCTTATACAAGTCGACGACAACCATCCTAAGGCAGAGAGTATTTATTTTTGAAAAATGAAAAAAAAAAAAACATGTATGCGAGGTAGACTGTGTCGAATGTACACGGCGATGTACAGGATGTCTGGTTAGAGGGCGGTCGTCACCGTCACACCGAATCTGCTGAATTATGAGTAATACGTGCTCGTGTAACGAAGGGAAAGGGGCATAGATAGTTCACACTCCTAAACCGAATACGTGCCCGGCTAACTGTGCTGAACTCACACTTGTAGTCAATCTAACAAACCGTTACAACTAAACTAAAAAGATACAACATTATCCCTCTCTTCATGTTAGCAGAATATAACAATGGCCGATGGTGATGGCTGCTGTTATTTATAGCTGTGTCGTTATGAAAACATACCATCATGTATCAGTCGATCATTGATACCTTGACAAGTCTATAAATACACCTAAAACACATTAAGTATGCGTGACACCTGTTAATGGAATATACAATGAGCTATGACGTAATGAACAGGTTATAAATAGCACTGAAGAGATAAACTATGACCTGGCTACCAATTATCATAAAAACATGATTAGTTATTTATTATTATTTGTATTGGGTACTCTAAGATTCTGGTATATCACAGTTTGCAATTAAATTGCCGTTATTGTAGAATAGAAAGCACTGTCTGTTAAATGAACTGAGCGATTACGCATTCATTTGAAGTAATTGTACGTACAAATAAATCACCAGTGGACGTCTCTTATATTATAAAACAACAACTCCCGCTCAAAGAGAAATCATATTCCAGTTCCAGCATGGAAATTCACTTATTTATTTAGTTTGCTGAAATATGTTATGGCAAATTTTGCAGGTTTACCAGTTCGTCAACAGAGGGCGCTATGCCTTGG